GTTCTAATTTCATGCTTGAATAATTTTGCATGTTTCTTTCGTTTGGTTTCAAACTTCTACTTGCATAAGCGATGACAACCTTATTCTTTCCCTGCATTTGTGACAAGATAGCCCCAAGTCCCTGATGACTAGCATCCGTCTCAAGAATAAATGGTTTTTGAAAATCTGGGTATCCCAACACAGGTGCTGTAGTCAGTTTTTCCTTAAGGGTTTGGAAAGCATTCTCACACTCTGTTGTCCAATTTCCCACAATGCTACGTAATGGATTAGGTCGACTCTTCTTTCTAGTCTGAGTACCATTCACCATAGGGGTTTTTAGTAGATCATGTAATGGTGATGCCAACTGTGCGTACCCTCTTACAAACCTCCGGTAATATCCGGTAAGCCCAAGAAATGCTCGAAGATCACGTTCTGTTGTAGGCCGCTTCCAATCACAAACTGCTCGTATCTTTTCATTATCCGGAGACGCACCTTCCTTACAGACGACATGACCAAGGTATCGAACTTTTGTTCCGAATAACTGACATTTTTCTGGTTTCACCTTAAGATTTAAGTTACTCAAACGACCGAGAACAGCATCCAGCCTCTTTAATGTTTCTTCAAATGTGGAACCAAAAATTAGGATGTCATCCAAATAAACAAGTAAAGATTGGAAGTTCATGTCATTAAAAGCTCTATCCATTACCCGCATAAACGTGGCTGGGGCGTTGCACAACCCAAACGGCATTCTGTTGAACTCATAAAACCCTCCTGTTCCAGACCGGAAAGCAGTTTTCTCCTTGTCTTCTTCGGCAACTGGTAACTGATGGTACCCATGCGCCAAGTCCAAGCTACAGAAAAACCTTGCTCCCTTTAAAGATTGTAGTGCTTCCTCTATTCTTGGGAGTGGGTAAGCATCCTTGTAAGTTTCCGCATTTAAAGCTCGATAATCAACACAAATACGCAAACTACCGTCTTTCTTTCGCACTAAGACTATGGGTGCTGCATACGGACTGGAACTTTCTCTGATGACACCACTATCTAACCATTTCTGCAAATTCACTTCCTCCCAGTGATGGGGCGGGATCCGTCGATATGGAATTTTGAGGGGCTGATTATCAGTTGTGTGGATTTTATGTGCAACAAGATCACAATAACCTATATCGTCTTCATTTTTACTGAATGTGCATTGGTGTTTATGAATAACCTCTCTCAACCTACTTCTTTGACTCTGGTCAAGATATCCTACATCCATCTTCGTCATTAGCCCGTCAAGTTCTACACTTGATTGCGGATCATGCACCATATCTGCTGGCTTCAAAACTCCAATAGGTGTTTTGGGCTGAATATATATATCTTGATCACTAAAATTTGCAACCTGCATTGGAATCTTGCCATTCTCATTTACACTCACGAGTGCAGCTCCAATTCCAACACCATTCGGTAAATCTGCTACTTGACTGGTGTGTCGTTCTAAGAGTGCGTATTTCATACAACCTGAAGTGTTTGACCGGCAGGAACCTTCTACTAACGATAATGTTCTAGCTGGTAGAAGAATGGCTTGGTGACCAGCAACTCTAACTGTTCTTGTATCTATATAGGTTGGGTACATCTGCAATGCAGATAGTAAATTAGAACCAGCAAACTTGGACAATTTTTCATTGTAGTTCGCACCATACAGCTTTTCCAAAGAGGCTCGAATATCTCTTAACACGTTGGAACCCAAAAGAACTGGTACGTCCAACTTCCTAGCCCTAACAATGGGATTTGTTGGCTCACGAACCACTAAAAATCCTAACGGCCCAAAAACATGGCCCAAAACAGTAACAGGTAATTCTACTAATCCATGGTAAGGGATATCACACATCTAGATGTGTATAAGAGACAGTCACTGTATTGTGTCAATTGGCAAATAACCCAGTCGTCCAAGGTTCGGTCCCATGGTCCAATTTCCGACTCAATGCATCAGCATTTGAATTACTTTTTCCAGCTCGATACTTAACCGTAAAGTTAAACTGGGCTAATTCTGCTGTCCACCTCATCTCCGTCGCACCTAACTTAGCAGATGACTGCAGGTAGCTGAGCGGGTTGTTATCTGTAAACACTTCGAATTGTGCACCTATCAAGATGTCACGAAACTTCTGGCAAATAGCCCATTTCAAAGCCAATAGTTCTAATTTCATGCTTGAATAATTTTGCATGTTTCTTTCGTTTGGTTTCAAACTTCTACTTGCATAAGCGATGACCTGTCTCTTATTCACATCTAGATGAGTATAAGAGACAGTTCCGTTTCTTTTCTGGTGGTAAAGTACGCAACCGATCATGTAAGGTTCTGTTGAAGCGCTCGCACTGGCCATTTCCTTCTGGGTGATAAGCAGTAGTATGACTCTTCTTGATGTTATATAATTTACATAATTCTTGAATGATTTTACTTTCGAAATTACGACCCTGATCACTATGGACTGTCTCTTATACACATCTAGATGTGTATTAGAGACAATCTTAGGCCTACGAACAAATAATTGTATTTACAGCACATAATAATGTAGTATTTTCTATAGCAGATGTAGGCATACAAACTACAATAATCCAAACTGTAATTAATACGATAAACATTAACTAATTAACTTGAAATGATAATTGATGGCCTGTAATATTAAATGTAAGGATAGGCCTATCTAGGACCTATATTCTAATAATAGGCCTATAATTGACAGTTCCCAAAACTGGTCTATCCTATTGTTTAAATAGGTGTTTGCTATTCGTAGACACACCCACTGCTTAACAATTAATGGGCTTAAAGTGTCAAAAGAGCTTTCTTTGTTTTTGTAGATAGCTTTGATCAGTGTATGAATGGTTTTATCTTTAGTTTATTCAGATATGTCAGCTACTAGAGGTATTCCCGATGGTCGGGATTCCCGATTTAACGGGATCCCGATAGAGATCGCGACCGGGATTCTATCGGGATTTTTATTTGGGATCCCGGCGGGATTTTTGGTCGGGATTCCCGGTTTATCTGGATCCCGATCTAGATTTAGATCGGGATTTTTTATCGGGATTTTTGGTCGGGATTCCCGGTTTAACGGGATCCTGATCTAGATTTTGATCGGGATTCTATCGGGACTTTAGAGGAATTGTTAATGATAAAACACATTCTCTGAACAGTACAGCAGTATAACCTACAGTGATCAGGCAAAATTATCCAAATAAGAGGAAAACAGACAAGACATAGAAACTCATTTCTGCCTTGTGAATAATACAGTTGTTGGTTGGTTCAAGCAATTACCGTTGAGTAATATAGTTCTGAGGTGGATGAAGGGTTGGGGGTTAAGGCGCAAACATTTGAGATTATGGACCTGTAGGTGGTTTGACATTGCACACTCATATAAAAAATCTTACCGGCAAATCATATTAACAATTATTTTTCTTAATACAATTTAGGGGGAGCGATTGGACCATCCGCCCCAGGAGTTGTTAGTTGGTCCAAGCATCCACTGAGTAATACAGTTGTTGTTGGTTGGTTCGAACACCCATTCAACATTACAGGTTCTTGTTTAGTTCAACCATCCAATGAATAATACAGTGGTATGTTGGTTCAAACATCCACTGAGTAATACACTTCTTGGTTGGTTCTAGTTGGTTCAAGCATCCATTAAACGTTACAGTAGTTGGTTGGTTCAAGCATCCAGTGAATAATAGAGGTGTCGGTTGGTTCAAGCATCCACTGAATATAAGAGAACGGTTGGTTGCTTGTTTCATTGATCCATTAATTAATGCAGAGTTGATGATTTAGCAAGTAGATGGTACTAGTGTGATTAATTGTGTCATGTGTTAGTAATAGGGTAGCATGGTAGGATTTGTCACAGCTAGTGGCATCTTGGAAACCAGTTGAACTTGGAGAGCATAATAGATAACATAATGACATAATGAAGAACTACAACCTGTACTAATACTAAAGATCAGTAATGGTCATATCATTTAGTTGTATTGGAATTGTTGTTTTATGCAATCACTGATTAATGCAGTAATTGGTGTACTACAGTATTTTATTAGTATAGGGTATAGTGTAAATTAGTTATGCTATGTGTAGTAGTAGGGCATCATTTTAGGCACTTACATTTGTCATAGGTCTTGTAAACCATTTGCACCTGAGGAGTATTAGGACAATTAAGACATGGTGAAGAACTTCATCCTGTAGTAAAAACTAAAGATCAGTATTAATGGTTAGATCATTTAGTAGTTTTGAAAAATGTTGCATTATACAATCCTATATTAATACAATTTTTGTCCTAGGCTTGCTTGTTGCAGTACTGTCTGTATATTTTTTGAGCTGTAAATAAATAAACCCACATCATCATCCGGTACTAAAAACTAAATATCATTAATGGTTGGATCATTTAGTAGTATTGGAATTTTTGTTTTATGCAGTCACAGGTTAATGCAGTAATTGGTTTACTAGTTGGTTGATGATGTTGTAAGTAGAGGGTATAGTGTATTTATGCCATGTGTAGTAGTTGAGTAGAATAGTAGAAATTTAGTTGTTGGTTGGTTAAAACATCCATTAAATAATACATTTGTTGTTTGATCCAAGCATTCAAAAATTAATACAACTGTTGTTTGGTTCAGGCATCCATTCAATAACAGAGTTGTTGATTAATTCAAGTATTCATTGAGTAATACAGTTGTTGGTTTGTTGGTTCAAGCACCCATTGAGTAATGCAGTTCTTAGTTGGTTCTAGCATTAATTGAATAATACAGTTGTTGGTGGGTCCAAGCATTAATTTAATAATACAGTTGTTGGGTTGGTTTGCGGAATCATCTTACTGAATAAGACATTTGTTGGTTAGTTCAAGCGCTCATTGAATAATACAGTTGTTGGTTTGTTGAAGCATTTACTGTGTAATACAGTTGTTGCTTGGTTTAATATCCATTGAATAATGCAGTTGTTGGTTGGTCCAAGCATCCATTGAAGAATACATTTATTGGGTTAGTTTGATGAAGCATCGACTGGATTAGAGAGTTGTTGCTTGGTTCAAGCACTCCTTGAATAATACAGTTGTTGGTTGGTTAAAGAATTTACTGAGTAATACAGTTGTTGGTTGATCCAAGCATTCAAAAATTAATACAACTGTTGGTTGTTTCAGGCATCCATTCAATAATACAGTTGTTGATTGGTTCAAGTATTCATTGAGTAATGCAGTTGTTAGTTGGTTCTAGCATTCAATGAACAATACAGTTGTTGGTTGCTTCTAACATCCACTGAATATAACAATTCAACAATACAGTTGTTGTGTTGGTTTGATGAAGTACCCATTAATAACGAAAATTGTTAGTTGGTTCAAGCACCCATTGAAAAATACAGTTGTTGGATTCTTAAAGCATTTACTGTGTAATACATTCATTCCTGACGATGACATAATTAATGTCGAAATATTGAATCCCGACACGATGGCGTGCATTTCGATACTAAGAGTATGTATTATACTATCTTTTCGTGTAATACAGTTGTTAGTCACTTTAAAATACCATTGAGTAATGTAGTTGTTGGTTGGTCCAAGCATCAATTGAGCAATACAGTTGTTGGGTTTGTTTGCTGAAGCCTCCATTAAATAATGCAGTTGTTGATGGGTAATCCGGACAACAGACGAAGACACTGTATTAAGACAACTTTGACCTTTATTACGATGACGGTAAAGTCTACAACAAAACAAATAAACAACTATTAAATAAAAAGCAATTAAGCAATACTACAATTCAAAGCTGCCACGTTAACATTATGGCCTACAAAGATAACAAATCAACGTTTCAATTATTGTTTCTGGTACAATAATCAATGAAAGCGCAACAGCAAAGTATCGCCTCAATAATTTTGTCATCAGAGGCGCACCATACTTCTTCATATCAACCGCACGTCGCCTCCAGGCAACGATCATCTCTTCTCATTCTGGGCCTAGGCCTAGGTTAACTTAATAAACTTCTTTAAAACAATAACAACATAAAACTCAAATAAACACAGTAACTCACGGAGTCTTCCAATGTCAAAATATGTCCGGAGACGAATAATAAATGAGTGAAACGGCGTCGCAGAGGTAAAGTACTAATTTATAAATATTGTTTAGCACCTAACACACTGTAGGCTAGCCTACGTACTGACTGACTTCTGTCTGCCTTGTTTATCTTATCAATACTCTTTGATCTTATGGAGCGCAACATGCGCACAAAATAATAAGAAATCTCGTAATACTCCCGCCTAGTGGGGAGTGAACATGAACCACGGAAAACACGGGATTTCAAACAATCTATAGATTAAATAAATATTAAAGTTCTTTTCAGTGTCCTCATTAGAATGAAAAGCATGTTCCAGTTCTCCTACTGTAGCTGTCAAGCACATTTTGTGTATTGGTCTTTCTTTTACAACATTTGATCCTTTCACTGTCGACCTTGCGTTCTCCCATTTGCTGAGTCAGTAAATATCTGCGTCTGGTTCGGCAGTACAAGCACTCTGCGGCTACTTCTTTAAATAGTTTAGCTCCTCCCAAGATGTATATCCCCTGTTTAAATGCGTACGCAACCGCTACTCTATAACCTTGATGGCCACAGCTCCTGTGTATGTGATGGCTTAAAAGATGTGCGAGGAGTGAACCTCTGCGAAGAAGAACAGGACATTTTTGTTCTTCTGGAATTTTGAGTTTCCGGAGCCTTCCTTCAACTCGGACTAAGGCCTTTCTATCGATTTTTGGATTAAATTTTCTGGTAGTCAAAACATCAGTTTCATTTTCCGCCCAGAAACTTTGGCTTACATAAAATAATGCGTGCTCCGCTTGTTGTATCTCAACTAGTGTTAAAGCAAAAGATTTAGGTCTACATTCCTTCTTGATAAGGAAACGGCGACAATAGGCGATACGGCGAAAAAGAAGATTCCAATCCGAAGTCGATGAACACAGACGTTCTTCAAATGTCTCTTGTAAGGTGGAAACGCAATTAATTTTTCGAAGGGCATCGGGTGCAAACTCCTTCACTATACGACGTTTAGCCTCAGTGTCGTAATCAGGTTCACAGCAAGGCCAACTCTCTCTATTTTGGCGAAGAAATTCAGGACCACGGATCCACTCTTGCAGTTCACTCGGCAGCATCGGCTTAGTTAGCGCATCGGCTGGGTTGAGATTCGACGGAACGTATCTAAGTTCATCAGAAAATAAGAACATCCTGAATCTCCTGAACCCGTGCAGAAACGAATGCCTTAAATGTTCTTGCTGGTGACCTCACCCATGACAGAATTGACTGAAACTGACGCTACTGATTACTTCTAGTACAACAGTAGCAAGTCGCGCCATGACTACAGCGGCAGTTAGCTCAAGTATCGGTATAGATCATTGTTTCAGCGGTGCAACGAGCGCCTTAGCAATAGCGAAAGTCAACACTACTCCATTTTGGGTATCCCATCTTAGCCAGATCACTGATCCCAGTGCAGCTCCGCTGGCATCACTAAAACCGTGTAACTGTGGACTGCCTATTGCACCCTAAGGTCGAAGTCGTCGTGGCATCTCAAATCCTATAAGTTGATTCATCTCCTGTACATGACTTCTCCATTCTTCGGTCCGCTTGACTCCCATCGTATCATCCCAATCGAGTTTAGATGCCCACATTTCCTGGATTCCTATCCTGTACCGAATACTTACTGGGACAAAATACCAGTTGGATCCCATAATTTCGCAACCAGGCTGGCAACTTTTCTTTTAGTCAATTGATTCAACTCTTCGTCAAATCTGTCGAGTTGAATACACACTAGGTCATCAGACTTATTCCAGTAGTGGCCTAAGATGCGCGTGCTTTGTTGATCAGGGCAGCGGTCTACTAGTGGATGATTAGAATGCCATTCTTTGATTTTGAATGATCCACTCTCCAAGATACGATCCACTTGGTCCATCATATCGATGGCGGTTCTTGGTTCTGCAAATGAGTCTGTTATATCGTCCATGTACATACGATCTTTAATTCGAAGAGCACCCTCAGGTTAAGTACTTGTCGCAGCCTCGGCAAGTAGACGGACAGTCATCATGGTAATGTCCGGTGCTGGCTTATCACCGAATCGTAGCCATTGGAAATACCTAACAGGTCCTGAGGTATTACCAAAACGCCAAGTAAAACGATGAAACATTTGATCATGTGCTAAGAGTTCAATTTGATTGAACATTTTTCTGATATCACCGGCTATGCCCACACTATCTTTTCTCTAGTGGAGGAAGCATTTCACAAGTGATTTCAAATAGTCAGGACCTTTGTGAAATCCATCGTTTAGGCAAAGTCCATTGAACTTTGCTGCAGAGTTCCACACGATTCTAATTTTGGTTGTCTTGTGCGGTTGATAGACGGCAAAATGTTGGAGATACCATCCTGTGTTCATGTTATCCTCATTTGTGAGCTCACGAACAAATCCGTTGTCAATTAACTTCTGAATTTCTGTATTATATTCGCCGATTTTGGAATTTTTAATTAGTCTGGATTCTTGGTTTTTCATTCTGGTTTCCGCTTGTATTCTGTTACACTCAAGTACCTCGGGAAACCCGTCCTTTCATGGCATTTTCACAGTCATGCGTCCAGCTTTATTTACTTTGATATTTTCTCTGCAGTGTTTAATAAATTTGGCTTAAGCTATCTCACTGTCTGTACATGAAAAAATTGTTGTAGGCTTGACGCCAATGACATCAGAAGTATAGAAACGTTCAAGATCATCCATAAATATACGGTTCTGTACACGTGGTGAAGTAATTGGAACCAGTCTTGGGACGTTTTCCCCAAACATCGTCCATCCGAGAGCACTTTTAGCGGCAGTAGGCGCTGATTCAGCATTTGTAGGTGATTTTACAGTTTGGTACGGTGTTGTGAGATCTTGGTAATCATAGCCAATCAACAGGTCAATTTCTGCTTCTTCAGTAGGCATGAAATCCTGTGCAGCTGCAAGGTAGGGATACTCATTGAATAGCTCCTATCCTACAGATGCGCTTTTATGTGCCGGCTTGTTGACACTGATCGCTACCATCTTATATATTGTTTTTTCATGTAAAGATCGAATTCTGACCGAATATCGAGAGCTGTTCTCTTGGACGGTGCCTCCCCCAGCCACACCGTATGTAAAGGTAAATGGATCTCCTTCTAGTCCCAAGCGTTCGGCAGTGTTTGCTCGTATGAGAGTTGTGTCGGCCCACTATCAAAAAATGCTACGACCTTGTGCCAAATTCCTTCTTTGTCCTGTAGTTCTACGAACGTAGTTGGCGAGTAGCGACGATGTTTAATGGTTGCTGGCATCGAACACAAATTCCCTATGGAGTTGTCAACAGCAGGGTTATAATTGGCTTGCAGATGCATCATGGGGTGCTGCAAGCTATTAGCTCCCGCCTGAGTGAACTGTACTACCTGATGTGTATTACTATCAGACAAGACTTGAGAAGATGCTCCATTTGTGTTATAAGGGGGACAGGCAATCATTCGGTGGTGAAATAACTGACATGTCACGCAACGCTTTTTGTCTGGCAGGAGTCACGGCGCACAGTGGGCCAGAATCAATTCAAAGTGTGCCAAAAGTCGAAAATAGGTAATGTGACAACTTCAACTTTTAAAGGTTGTTTGATGTCGAGAACATCCTAAATTATATTAATCCACCAATAATTTCATATTTAGTGAATTTTCATAGTGTGATATAACTATGTAAACATGAAAAAGTTGTATTTTACTCGTAAAATGATAAAATTGACAGTTTTGAAAAACTCCCTATGACTTTACTTAGATGAAAGCAGTCAACTTGATACTTCTTGCAGTATTTACCTATTGTTAACTAAATTAGATAGTAAAATAAAAAATGACATTATTGGTATATTTTTAGAATAAAAGACACTAAATATGAGCCAAAAACGCTTAAAAACATTTTTTTCATAAAACCAACCTAAAAGTTAGAATTGCCGAAGATTTTCGTCATGATTTTGATATCAACATTTCAGGCAGAGTCTAAGCTTTACGTTGATGCCAAGTTTAGCTGCCAATATCTGCCACCCTGCATTTAGCAAGCGATTTAATATACCCCACCCCCCCCCTCCCACAGAAGCGCCGTTTTTAAATTAAGGTATACGATAAAATCATTTCTGCAGCCATTGGGTGCCAAATGTAAAAACAAGTACACTCGATTTCCAGTGTCATATCTAGGAGTGAATCGGGGAGGGAGATCATTGGTGGATCTGGAGGGGGTCAGGGACCACAACCCCTTGGACAAAAACATTAAATAAATAAATATTTAAAAAATAATTCTAGACTTACGGTACTTTTCCAGGACCTGTAAGCTGATTATTGAATTTTGTGTTACAATTGGACAATTAAATGTCGGAAATGCTCTATCAAAATTTTGATGTGGGATGACCCTGTTTCAAAAAAAAAGAAAAGAAAAAAATCATATTTATACCTCTACACACACAATAGGCCTCTTTACTGTATTAAAAATCAGAAAATTTACCTGACCGTTTTCAATAGGGTAAACCTTGATTTTGTTTTTATTAAAGGTCATTAAAAGATACTTCAGAAGTCTGAAAAGCTCACCTCCCGCAATCTAGGAATCAAAATTTTCCAGGGCTAACATGATTCCGCGCCTCTCCCCCGGTTCCTCTTTAGGTTTTATCGATTCATTAAAAAACTTCAAGAGAGGGAAACCAAAATTTCAGAAGTTGAGAAAACCCGTTTTCCGACATATAGGAATCAACATTTTCCCACCACCGTCCTATTTGGGGTTCATCGGTTCATGGAAAACAAAATAGGCCTACGTATGCAACTACTCTTTTTTTTATACACACATAGGCCTGTTTACTGTAATAAGAATGACAAAGTTGACATGACTGTTTTCAAGGGAGGGAAAATCTTGAACTTTATAAAACTTAAATGTCATTAAAATACACCTCAAAAGTCGGGAAATCTCATTTCTCGCCATTTAGGTAACAACATTTTTCCGGGGAGGACCTCGACGCCCTTTTATTTTGAGGTCAATTATTCTAGGAATAATTTTTTATCCGAGACTTTCTCTTCTGTTTTTATTTTTTTAAATTTTTTTTAAAAAACATTTTGACTCCATCCTAAATCTGAAGCCAAATTGCCTCTGGAGATGATAAGGGCATCCCAAGGTGAGTGATGGGATGGGGGTAAATGCCCGATGAATTGGGAACCGCTCATTTAATTTCTTTTTTTTAATTTATTTATTTAGCATCTATTCAAATACAACAATTATTGCTCAAGCAAATTATAGCGATATTAGGTAAATTCAGTCTGTTTGACCGTGATCTTTTGTGCTTATTTTCACTGGTGAGGGCTGACTAATGGGGTGGACGCGGACTCATCTAAAGGGGGTACTGCAGGTGTCTTCTTAACACTCTACCTCCCACCCTTTTCTTTGAAGAAATGTATTTTAATAATGTCACATAAAGTGTAAAATGTTCTAATTTGAATTTGCCGGTCTAGAAACCCTTATTCGTGTCATACTGAGCTCTGGCAAGTTATTCTGTCTAGATCTTAAATTTTACGTCGTCCAATAAAAAAAATACTTTAATGATGTCATACATACCGTATTTAAATATGCTTGCGTTGAAATCTACAGGTTAGAAAACCCTTATATGCTCTAATAACCAAGGTAATATGAATCTGCCTAGGTATTACAATGAATATTTTACTCATCCAATCAAAAAACAGTAATTTGATGACGTCATACGTATTTAAAAATAGTTTAATTGAATCAACAGGTTTGAAAACCCCTTAAACAGTCTTAACATGAACATAATCAGTATTTTCTTATGAGTATTGACTTTTGGCACACTTTGAAACAATTCTGGCCCACTGTGCGGCGGTTTCAATATAGACAATAAGTAGTGAGCCCTCTTTTGGTCACTATTATACATTTTAGATATACTCGTAGTTGGGGGCGCTAACGCGGAAGCGATATTTTCATTATTCTCCACATATGGGTTTTTAAATGACCAACCAACAGCTTTAAAATAAAAAAAAATAATGAATATTCATGATATTATCAAAGAAGACATGCTAAACAGTTCTGTAGTATAACATAGGTACGATGTCATGGCTCCTGATTTTACGTGTGCGTATTTGAATTTATTCGATGTTTTTCACCCAAAACTTAAGAAAATCTGGCATGTAAAGTTTACATGGCTATAAATAATTTTTGCAAATTTTTGAAACATTGCAACTTGCTCCATGTTATTATTATTTGACTTCTGCATTATTTTCTAGAAAATCTCTCCGACAACTGTTCCGGTAAAAATTTTATTTAAGTTTAAAAATGACCGTGTTTGGCCTTTAAAATACACATGTTTACCCTAGGCAGGCCTAGCATGTCTACCTTTTAGACGTTTATGGCGTAATAAATAACACAGGCAAGAGGGTAGGCTGCCGCCTGGGCTTAGGTGAAAGTAAACAATGTTTGGCCCGGAGGGTATTTATATTTTAAGTATACGCGGTATGCTCTCACGTGAAATAGGCCTACGCTAGGCATAGTCTAGACATATAGACATATTTTTAGGATTATTCAGACCCCAAGTTTTATAAAAACATTTATCTTGTAATTTTAAAATTTCCAAAAATATTTGATTATTATTATTATTATTATTATTAATGAAATGAAAAAAAAATGGAATAACTTTTTATTTTTAATTTTAAACAAGATACAAGCGAGCTGACAAAATACATCATGAAGATAATCAATTTGAACATAAAGGAAAGAGCAGCTGGATGGTGTTCATGGAGAGCAGCAGAAAAAAATGATACTAAGACAGATATTAAGGCATTTTAAATAATACAAATTATTCTACTTCTGTACAATGTTTTTTTTTTTTTTTTTTTTTTTTTAATTATGTATCATCACAATAATGCTTTATAAATCACATCGTATGTTCTTAAATACAGTATATCAAATGTTGTATTTTCATTGATATCCGTTTTGGTTATATTGTTGGGAGACCTTTACTAGTAGCAAGCGCTAGTCTTCCTAAGCATTAACTTGGCTGTCCATTTTTAAATGTTGTCCCCTTTTTTCAATGTATGGTGTTTATTATTTTTATGTTTTGGAATGTTAATGTACTTGTATTCCCAAGCTATTATGAAATAATAATAATAATAATAATAATAATAATAATAATAATAATAATAATAATAATAATACTGTTATGCCATTTGTACCACATCGAAACCAAGGGAAAAGTGAGTGCACAATATAATTAACACTTGAAATATTTTACTTTCCATTGCCTAGAATGAATTATATTGTTATGTATTGCCTAATTAAAATATATTTATATTTATCTTTTCAGCTTCTTTAATTGTTACGACGCATGATGAACATCAGATACTATGGTGAGATATGTTTACATCTATCCGGTTTTAATCGATATGCAAGCTACATGGAAACAGATGAACTCGTCATTTTGTCTCTGCATCCCTGCTGTTACAGACAGTTTTGTTTAGCATTCTTGTTTGTATTTTTGAAGAGACCTGGGACTTTCAGATGATGGGAAATTTATATTTTCTCTGAATCAACTTACTATTGAGAACAGATTGTTTAAAACCCCATACCCTTTTTATGAAAAAAAATTAACACACTAATTACTGCACTTAACACAAAGCGCAATAACATATTTTTTTTTGTGCAGTACTATAATGTAGTGTGAATATATTGAATTTTCTACTTATAAAGTGCAATAGCAATTTGTACAAAAATAACTGTCAGTATTAACCTGATTGCATACCTTAAATTTGGATTCCTGATGATGACATAATTAATATCAAAGTATTGAATCCCTAAACTTTGAGTATGTATTATTCTATCTGTATCTGAGATTAATCAGTGGACCTTTCGGTTTAATTTGGATTCTTGTATTTTTTGAAGGTTTATTTTGTTCATTAAAAATATAACATGTAGAACATAATGTTTGTGTCTATTTGTAAACTGAGATGTAAGAAGAATGATGATTGTAAATGATACTGGCTATTTTCACAGATGAATATTGGATCATTGTTTACATTTATTTATATTTTTAATTTTCTTTATTTTAGAGCCATCCTATTTATTGCCATCAAAATATAAAATGTTATTCAATGCAACCTGTATTTATCATATATTAGCTGAATAAAAATAATATATATATTATACAATTATACTTTTAACATTTAACAACATTAATGAAGCAAAGCCTATCCAAAACCCCAATAAAATCTAGGCCTCAATCTAGGCCTAGCGCATGTATAAACAATGCGTAAAATTGCGCGTATGAGCCCGTGGAGTTGTCAAGAACGCCTAGTAAAGCCAAAATATTTGCTGTTTTCAATCGAAAATTTTTAAAAATCGGAAGAAGTTGTCAGGCCAATATTTCACAATATACAAGAACAGACACTGATTGTTCATTGGCGACCAACGCTAACATCCAGAAAAATTGCACAATTTTGTAAAACGACCATGTTTAGCGATATTAACATTTACGGAGTGGCGTTGTTTGTTTACATTTTTACTGTAGACCGGCCTTATTTTTCTTGTTAAAATTCATGATTTTTATATAAATTCATGCATTGCAAAAAATTTGTTTAGTAGCGGATATAATAATTTGACAAACAGAACATGAATGGGGGGATATTATACTCATATATTATTTTTAGCACAATTCTACTATGTACCAAAAAAAGCAGTTCCGCTAGGCTCGCACGATCCCAATCGCGACATGAGTGTGTTCGTTCGAGGCTTGCGGTGCGTAAATATATGAAAGGCACGTTGAAAACACTTATTGTCCCAATATAGTGCGTATGAAACCGCCGTTGAGTACAGATGCCTGGCTACTAATGTGATGAGTGGATGTGTTCTTGCTTGTGACGTCACAAAACACATGCGGTTGTTCTCTACGTTCTCGTGTTTCAGTTTCACGCCTTAGAAATGGGATTAAAGTAGACATGGTTGGTTCATCATCCTTGATTTGGCGCATGTACTCAAACATTAGGTCGGCATCGACCTTTTGACTTGCTAATTCTACAAGAACAGAAGATGACAATTCGTGTTCTTTGCCTAATTCTTTCATTTGTCTGCTAAAGTCAGTAAGTCCATCTAGAACAGGTCGCATCTCTCTGGCAGTGGAAGACTTCATTTGTCTGAGTGATTGTAAGCCCAGTATGACATCTCTAACAATAGCAGAAGTTGGCACCTTTCTTTTTCAGTCGAGCCCAGACTCCATTCTCGCCATCTACGGAACAGCAGTCTGCAATGTGGTTTTGGCTGTTCCATTAGCTGTTCTCTGTCTTTGTTTATTCCAGCAGATTCAAAATATTGGCTAATCCTAACATGCCAAGATTGGAAGTTTCTTGGGGCTCCATCCCAGCATGGCGCTGGAAGACCTGGTGTCTTAATAGAAGGTCGGTTTTCTGTTTTGCCCACAGACATTTGCTTCGTCAGAGTTTGCATCATCTCGGACTGAGCTTTGATGAGCTTCACTATCTCTTCGTCCTTGGGTGATACTGGTTATTCTTTTACTGGCGCACAGCTTTTCACTGTTTGCTTGAAAGCCTGGTATCTACAGTACTGATTACAGGACCTTCTACATCTCCTCGCGTGGGCCACGAGAGTGATTGGCGTGGGACTCGCGAGTGATAAGCTAATGATAAGAAAGTATAATACATACTCCAAGTATTGAAATACACGCCATCGTGTTGGGATTCAATATTTCGACATTAATTATGTCATCATCAGGAATGAAA